ACGTCTTGTGGCTTGGGAGATAAGAGACCTTCTCAACTTCTCCGCCACATGAAACAACTCGCCAGTCCATACAAGCTAGACGAAGCTCTCCTAAAGCAAATGTGGTTTCAAAGATTACCACACAGTGTTAGACAAATTCTCAGTGTCTCAGGGAAATCCGTCGCCCTTGATGACTTAGCCGACATGGCGGATAAAATGATGGAAGTCTACCATGATAGTCACTGCGTGAACTCATTGCAACCACCTGGACCAGCAGATATTAGCTGTTTAGCCTCCTTTCAAAAGCAGTTAACGCAATTAACGAGCCAGCTGGCGTCACTGCAATCGACCATAGCAACCATCCAAGCTAGACAATCGAGATCCCCTCCAAACGAAAATCTTTTTCCAGACAACGATCTCGGTCACCGAAGCGAACATCTGAAGTTTGTTGGTACCACCAAAAATACGGCATCAAAGCACGGCGTTGTGCACGACCGTGCACATTTTCTGCGGATGACACAGAGAATCAGGTAAACGGCCCGGCCAGACAGTGATGGCGGCGTCTGTTACTGGCCAACAAGTAAGCCGCCTTTTTCATATCAGGGATCGCATTTCTGGCTCGGATTTTTTAGTCGATACAGGAGCAGAAATTAGCATTATCCCACTTCACCTCTCCCGAAGACAAGAAACAACAAACACTAAGCGGTCTCTCATTGCGGCAAACGAATCAATTATCAAAACTTACGGAGAGCAATCTCTTATATTAGGTCTCGGACTCCGAAGACGATTTACATGGGTTTTCATAGTTGCCCGAGTCAAACAACCCATCCTCGGAGCTTATTTCCTCAGTGCCTACAATTCGTTAGTAGATTTGACCAAGAAGAAATTAATCGACGCAAATACACGTTTACAGGTAGATGGTACACCTTCCAACGACTATGAAATCCATGGTATACGGATAATGAAACCTGCGAACAACGTTTTCAACGACATTCTGTCAGAATACGAATGCATCACGAAATCAGATTATCAAAAGGAATGTAATCCACATCAGGTGCAACACCACATCATTACCACCGGTCCACCTATTAGCGCCAGGGCGAGGAGACTACCGCCAAGCAAGTTACAAGTAGCTAAAAGAGAATTCGAACATATGATGCAACTTTGTATTATCAGACCATCCAATAGTCCTTGGGCCTCGCCGCTGCATATGGTTCCCAAGAAAGATCAAGACTGGCGCCCATGTGTGGATTATCGCCGACTGAATAACTAGACTATCCCAGACAGGTATCCGGTCCCTCATCTGCATGATTTTTCTTTAAATCTACATGGAAAACAGATCTTTTCAAAGTTAGATCTAGTCCGAGCATACCATCAAATACCGATGGCACCTGAGGATATCGAGAAAACAGCCGTAATCACACCTTTTGGCTTGTTTGAATTCTTGAGTATGCCTTTCGGACTAAAAAACGCCGCTCAAACCTTTCAGAGATTTATGGACGAAGTAACTAGAGGTTTGGATTTTGTGTTTGTCTATATCGACGATGTTTGAATCGCTAGTTCTTCCACTGAAGAACATGTTCAGCACTTACACACGCTTGTTGAACGTCTCAAAAGTTATGGTGTTGTAATAAACCCTTCAAAGTGTATATTTGGCGCCTCATCTCTGGAATTCCTGCGACACCACATTGATTCCCAAGGAATTAAACCGCTTGAAGAGAAAGTCAAAGCCATCACCAGCTACCCAGAACCAACCTCAGTAAAATCACTGCGTCGTTTTCTTGGAACATGCAATTTTTATCGACGATTTCTACCAAATTGTGCCGATGTACTACAGCCATTGACAGATTTACTGAAAAACGATATATCAGGTACCAAGAAAGAAAAGAACCAAATATTCAAGTTACCTTCCGATGCCAAAGTAGCATTTGAAAAAGCTAAATCCATGATTGCTAATGCTACCATGCTCCAATACCTTAATACTGATTCCACAACACTGTTGATCCTATGCACGGATGCTTCACAAAAAGCCGTCGGGGCAGTATTACAACAGCGGGTAAACAACACGATTACCCCCATTGCCTTTTTCTCCAAGAGATTATCGTCAGCACAAGAACGTTATAGTACTTTTGGACGCGAACTCTTAGCTATGTATTTAGCAGTAAAACATTTCAACTTTTGCCACAGGGTCGTGATTTCATCATTATGACAGATCACAAACCCCTTTGTTATTCTTTTAGCACATCTTATGACAAACACTCCCCACGAGAAGCAAGACAACTTGATTATATCTGTCAATTTACCACAGACATCAAGTTTATCAAAGGTCACACGAACATTGTTGCAGATGCACTATCTAGGAGGGATATCAATACGATGGTACTCAATCATGACATCAGCCTTGAAACCTTGGCTAAATTACAAGCAGACGATGCAGAATTAAAAGCCTGCAAAGAAAAGTCTAGCTTAGATCTCAAACCTGTACCAATTCCTCTTTCAGATGCATTTATCATGTGCGACACTTCAACAGGCAACAATCGTCCGTTTGTCCCACACGCTTGCTGACGAAAAATATTTCAGCACTTGCACGGTCTTTCACATCCAGGCATCAGAGCAACAACAAAGCTCATTACCGAACGTTTTGTGTGGCCTAAAATCAACTCGGATGTTAAACGTTGGACACGTAGCTGTCTCCAGTGCCAACGCAGTAAGACGCAAAAACACACCTACAGTCCAACTGGGAAGTTCCCTATCCCTGACAAACGTTTCCAGCACGTGCACAGTCAATTCAAGAGGGTGTGGGGTTTGAATGAACTAATGATTCCTTTGTACCTGTTGAATGCTTGATTTCGAATTCTAAATACGGTACATTCGATTGTGCTTATCTAGAACTTCTTGATCCAACTGCGTTATTTCTGGAATTCTTAGTCTGCGGTGGACCAGACGATATATAAACACAAAAAGTATCAACAAAGTTAATAAAAATCAATAGTTATATTAATATATACAAGTTAAATGTTACAAATACAATAAAAATGGAACTTTACTTAAGTTCACCCAAAATGATGCGTGTTCGGCTTTACTCTGGTACAATAAATCCACAATTATAGATGCTTGGTAATTCCAAACGTATCGATGAACTCCCCAGTGGTGTAATCCAAAGTAAGGTATGGTGTATTCGCTCTCACAGTCTATGAATGTAAATAATATTTGTTTTAGATCTCAGTTAACTCAATCTCGAATGAAAATAAAACGAGGGATGTGTGAGAAGCAGTGTACTTGTTAACCAGCCACGGTATGTCCCGCTATGTTAGAATCACAACGGAAAAAGTGTTCAAGGTCATTTACTAAAACAACAGGTACAATCATTTAATGATAAATGTACATGTAGTGAGAAATTGACAAAATAAATACCAATAATATTAAAAACTATTTACAAAATAAGCTTGTCAGACCTATCTCCACATGACCAACTTATAAGTTTGATATCAATGTACTTGTCTCTGATAAAACATGTATGTTATTCGCTATTTTTATCTTGATAACTGAAGACGGATGCATTAATGTATATTTGATGAATTTTATGAACTGCCATATTCAGTAAAATTAAACAGAAATAAAGTGTACAGGGACTTAATGAGTACAATTGAATCAAAGTATTATTAGTGTTGAACAGAAACTAGAATAAGACATCTTAGTAAAAAAATCGAACTTATATCGATACTTGCACTGTTATTAACAGCAACAACATCATTATGAAACAAGTTAAAATTTTCATTTAAACAGACTAATTTCCATTTTAATTGAAATGATTCCAAACTGTTCAGAGTATCACTCAGTCAAGATATTTATAGGATAATTTGCAAGTGAAATATGATTGACAGAAAAAACGAGTAGAAGGATAAAAAAAACATAAGCAAGATAAAATGATTCATACATAATGTATCCTAATTAATCACGCAATTGAACCAATGTATACCTGATATCCATATACGTTGTCAGATCTTGCCTCTAAAATGAGTATGAGTATGAATATTTATTCATCAGACACCATAGTATTGTACCCTTAATCCACGTGAATAGAGGTAAGCGAGACTAATGGATAAAATATTTCCTTGCCTTATATATTCATTCACTGTTTCAAATACATGAAGACAGTCAATGAGTGTGCATTTACGTACCTCTTATCTTCTTAATAAAATCTACGGTGATTTCAGCCACATCAATTGAAGAGCGTTTCGGATAAGAAAGACTAGTTATGGTCAAAAACTTAATCTCAGCTGAATTTTCACTTAATTCTGAGTTCCTCAACCGTTACTTTTGGTATTTCTGTGGTGAATTTAAGGTATTGATATCTTACTGTGGTAACGTAAACTACTTAGAAACCTGTAAGCTATGAAAGAGTAGCCCTCTATCTTACGTATACTAGCAAGAACGGTTCAGCTTTGTGTGCGATTCTCAGATGTTTTATTCCTCTAACCTGTCGTCACGTCTGTTGCACCACCATGAATTGGTACCAAATGATCCGTGTTGTATTTTATTACAGTAAACGCAGGAACCAGGTCATAAAGTGTTAACAACAATTTGGCAGTCAACACACAAAGCTGACTTCTAAAAAGTAAAGCTTTCCTAAGACTTTAACTCATTCTATCAGATATTCAGTAGTAGTGTACTGAGAGTGAAATATCGTTACAATCGATTTTATCCAGTTGGATTATATTTAATCGATCTTGTCGCAGAATTTTGAGAACATGAGTTTCTCGTTGTACACCTGTGAAACTGATTTGCAATCGCTTCATAAGTATGATAATCCTCATATACTTTAGCGAGATCGGTAAATAGTGCATATATATGTTCTTGTCCCAACAGTCTGCTTAGTTATTTCAGTTTCTTGCGAGGTCTACCATCTTTTGTATCAACATTGCGCTTCATGGAATAGCTTGTTCTCATCAATGAATCTTATAATTTAACCATATATAAGCTGTTCAATAACATTGATAATATTCAAAATTATGCTACTGGGCTGTAGGAACTTCAGTGATTTCTACGTGTAATCCTGAATTAGCAATACATCCAAAAATAACAGAAATATGGTACTGCTTACTTAACTTACATAACCGTGATCAGAACTATGACAAATATCAGCTAGATGATTAGTCCTTTACGGATTAGTTGTATTTATTTAGTATTTTTTGATTCACCTAATTTCAATTTTTTAATTTGACAGATTCATCATCATCATAATAGGCTAAATGTTTTAGATACTGAAACAAAATCAAATCACATAAACATTAAATATGTTAAATTCAATTAGTATTGTTTTACTTGTATCTACCCAGTGTTATTTAGGACTGCAATTAATCAATCTCATGTTGGTATATGTACATTCTGTGAGGATTGCCTTGATATAGCCTTAAGTCACAAGCTTTTAAAGCAAAGATGAATTAGTGGCTAACAGTGAAATTCAGGACGCATGTTTCATTCCATTTGGGACTCGTTAGAAGAAACATTCAACATGGACAAACTCATGATAGCATTTTTCTCATAGAACGTTAATAATTAACAACAATGAACTGAATAACATACGAATGAATGTATACGTTTATATATATTTCTATTTGATGATATGATGAAAATGTATAGAATAGTGAACTAAATACCAAACAATTTGAACAACTAAATTCATGAATAAAAGTACGATTAAAATAAATAATACTAATTAAAAATTATATCGAAAGAACATCCAGCCACACCCCCCCCTCAGCAAAATGGAAAAAAAAATTAGTTCTTTTAAATAACGAATAAATGCCATACAGGTAGTGAATGTACTTTGAAACTCATTATGTATGACTATGATTACCAAAATATTGTAAACAGTGCAAAAATGTAATATGTGAGTAATGCAGGGTATAAGTGGTGGTGATGGTGATTGTGATGGGGTAGGGGGTATAAAGTGCAAATAATAAATGATGAAAAAGAATTTTTTTTTTCCCCTTTTTATGACAAAGATCACCGATAAGAGAACATATTGAAAAAGAAAAAAAAAATTGATAAATAACTTAATCAATAAAATGAATCAATAATAAAGTAAACATATTGACTGAACAAGAATGTGAAAGATAAGCCTAAACTAAATGCCATTATAAAGATTATTTATCATAATTATTAGAAATAAATGAGTAGAGTAAAGAAATTCAATGTATCCATGTTGTTTTTGTCTAACTGTTGTCTTATATGAGTTGTTGTTGTTGTTGTTGTTCTTCATCAACTTCTTCTTTGCTGAATTCATTTAGATTCTTTTCTTTCTTGAATTAATTATTTAAAGTTATATGATCATCAGTATCATTTTCACTGCATGAACATTGAAAATCATCATCATCTTCTTCATCAGATCTTAATGGATTTTCATATAATTGAATTGTTGGATTACATACAATTGGTGATCCACTTTTAAGATTATTATTATTATTATTGTTATATATTGATGATGACATATTCAAAGAGGCATCATAACGCTATCAAGAAATATTGAAGAGTATAATACAGAATAAAATATGTTAGTTAAATATTACTGTTATATGACGTAGTGTAAAATATAAAAAGCACTACAGGGGTTATAGGCAATTATAGAAATTTGAACCCTCCCTCCCCACCATCACCACGTATCTCTCTTGGCCAGATAATAATTCGTAATGACGATTAATCGAATGTCGATCGTTTCAAAGTTTTCACCTACTTCCTATTTCGAGATATTTCTTCAGTCTTTTATTATTCTAATCACTGAGTACATCCGACATTAAATCATCATCAATCTATACTTACTACTCATTATGTTGAGTTACATAATCTATTACGTTGTTATCATTGACTCATAAATTGACTTTGTGGATTTAATAATATTTATGAAGTTTGTATAAATATTACCGTATATTAGAGTAAATCTTGATGAAGATTTAATTGAAACCAACATTGTTTATTTATGTGTATTGTTCTAATGAAATATACAGTTTGAAAACTCATTTAATTTTAATGTAAAACCAAGATGTTTACATACTACTGAGAACATATTACCATCAATGATTCAAATGAAAAGAATTCAGTCACTGAATTTACTGAATATCACTCCGTACTTTTATATAAGATTATGGATAATATAATTTAATAGTTGATTTCATAACTCAATTGAAGTTAGACCACTATGGAAAACCTGGAAGCACTGGATGACCGTTTCGTCATAGTATTGAACTCCTCAGCAGTGCGCATCCACGATCCCGCCTCGAGAGACTCGAACCCAGAACATACCGGTCTCGCGCGCGAACGCTTAACCTCTAGACCACTGAGCTAGCCGGCATTCAACGGTGTTAATTCTTAACTTCAACTCCTTATTATATATTATTTGAATAACTTTATATTATTAGAATTAAGCTGTGGCAATTTCAACAGCAAGTTTGATGCCATTAAAACTTTCCACAGTATTTTCAACATGATTAATTGAATCAAACTAAATGGAAAACATATTTACATTAAACTATTAGGATTCGTAAAAACTACTTTAATCTTGAAGTCGAATATTCAAGACTTAAACCCCTTACCTTTTGTTTGAAAGTTCCAAGTTATTTAGTTAATTATTTATACATATAATAGCTAACAAAAGGAAGTGGAAGTCTTTAATTGAGTTGGATTCGAGTCCTAGAGTGAACATCACCTCGGAGATGCAGGTATATTTAGACGACGAGTCCCAAATAGGACGAAACGCATGTCTTGGATTCCACTGCTATCCACTACTCATCTTTACTTATAAAGCTTGTGATTTAAGGCAATGTCGAGGCAGTCGTCATAGGATGCACATATGCCAACAAGAGACTAATCAATTGCAGTTCTAAACATCAATGGGAAGATTCAAACAAACAACATCAAATGAATTTAACAGTTCACACCTAGCAGAAAACTTAGGTTCAGGGTATCTTGACAGATATCTCTGACCACCTAAAATCTAGACGTAGTTCCCGAGAATCTAATTCACTTGGACTAAATCAATTCAATCAAGACTATGGTCTTAATAGTTGTTATTTGGTAACCAACCAATGTACGCAAAAATACTTCGGATCCGTTGGCCAGGCATTATCAGCAACAACCTACTATAGAAAAGAACAAACCAGATTCCAGCGGAGAAAGAAATAAGGAAGAAGCACTGGAAGTGGATAGGACACACATTGAGGAAAGCACCCGAGTGCGTCACAAGACAAGCCCTCACATGGAATCCTCAAGGCCAAAGAAAAAGAGGAAGATCAAAGAACACATTACGCCGAGAAATGGCGACAAACATGAGAAGAATAAACAATAGTTGGATAGAACTCGAAAGGAAGGCTCAAGGCAGAGTGTGTTGGTTATTACTTGTCAACGGCCTATGCTCAATCGGGAATAACAGGCGTAAGTAAGTAAGTAAGTAAGTAAGTAAGTAGGTAATTAACCAACTATTGACTATGTTCTATCATGTTTAGAAGAATGATGATATGTTTTAATCATAAAAACAATTTTATAAAATCAATAATTGATAAATAACATTTTAAAATACTTTTTCATCCAATAAAATAGTTTTGGCTTCATATTCTTTCATATTAGATTGATTCATAAATGGATTTGGGGTAATTCGTATCGGTTGAACTTTCTGTTCATTTTCATATTGTTGTTGTGGTTGCTGTTGATGATGATTTATTATCGTTTGAGAATTATAATCATTCAATTTTGAATTTTTTAATTTTTCAGCACTAGTTTCTAACTGTTTTCCATCTTGTAATTTATTCATTTGTTGTTTTATTAAATAGTTTTGTTTTAATGAATTACTATGATCAAATGATGTTATTTGAAAATTTTGAATTTTTGATTTAAACTGATCTGATTTTAAATAAACACGATGAATTCGTTTCATAGCAACAAATAATATTAAGAGAATTGCTATAATTGAAGAGCTGATAAGCAGTAAAATACCCTGGAATATAATACAAATTGAATAGAAAAGTAATAATTACGTAAATATGTAACCATAATCTGTGTTTAAATATTATAATCTGGTTAATGTTATAACTTGTGGCCTGTGTGTCCTTATTAATGTATAACGTAATGATACTGTCAATTAGAGAACAGTGAACAGAATTTTCGACTGGTTGATATTTAAGTCAAAGGGGGAACATAATCAAAATTATTTTACCGGTAACGACAAAGTGAAGGTCAATAATAATCACTAAAACTCAAGGTTGACTTGATGAGCTGTCAAGCCTAAGTGAAGGAATTCAAATAACACATTAGCACCTAACGTTTGTGTTGAAAACGTTGTTGAGAAGAACAATGACCGCTTCACGATCAAATCATCGAGCTCGGAGAGCGAAACTTCACTTAATTCATTCACTCAGGCTAAAAACGTTTACCAACATAATTTATTTTTATACACATACTGATGAATTAGAATTATCTTTTGACAAGCGAATGAATAATCTTGTCTGTGACATTAGTAGGGTAAAGTTCGAATGAATATTCTATATTTAAGCCAAGATAAAAAAGAACCCCAATTACAAATTTCCGCTCCAATCAACAGTCATAGAGAGAAAAAACATTGATACTTATAGAATGTTTAAGTATATCCTTGAGGCAGTGCTCTTTATTATCAAGAATCGATATTTTACCTGATTCAATACAAGGTATTCGAAAACCTGAATTATTTTTTGGATCCTCATCTAATACGCTTATGTTATCTGGGTGCTTGATATCTATCAACGAACCTCTAAGTAGAAAAGTAATTTTCAAAAAGCCGAATATAAAGAATTTGAATCTTTATCAGAGTATTAATCAAAATGTAGAGAGTAGACACCCTCGATTAACATCAGTTAACTTACTTCAAATAAAACTCACCATATGGTCTCAATCAACCGCAACTATCCAAACAGACAACATCATAATGGTGTGTCTGGTTAAGTCAATTAATCAGTGACAGATATTATAGAACTTCTCAAATGATCATATCAGATACCATCGTTCAGGTCGAAAAATAAGACTAGAACCAGAAGTATCTAAATTTGCCGATTAAACAATTTAGCCAAAGATACAGATTCGTTCAATGAATCCTTTTAAATGTTTTAAATTTGTTTTACTTCCTGAACTTTACTGTTCTCAAGTAAAATACTTACGGAAATCAGAACCTTGAAAACTATATTATTCTACTTGATTCTCTGGTAATTACCATGATAGAATTTCTAGGTTATCTTATCAATTAGAATGATCAACAATCTAGATCACTAAGATGACACTAATATTCAATTACAAAGCAATCACTATAAACTTAATTAGCTTAATTAATTGTCTCAAACAAGTTGTAAAGATCTTGCACTAACTAATACTTGAATACTTCTCGTTAATCTTTTATTTCGACTTTTAGTGGATAACAATCAACTAAAGATTAGCTGACAGTCAATTAAACTGTTGCTCGAATTCTCCCACTTAAAAATATAGTTGGTTGGTTTGAAAGTGAATCATTGAATCATCTTTATTTACAACAGTTATACCATTAAAAGTAGATATTAATTACCCTTCAAAATCTTAGATGAACTTAAAACAATATGATTCAAACAGATTGATAGTACAATATTCAACTGTTGTATTAAGTGAATCTAGTTTTAATTTCACGAGAAACCAATTGTACCAAGTATTGTACTGATTTACTATAAATGGAATGTGATCAGCAGTGGAATCCAGAACGAACATATTGTCTTATTCAGGATTGTCAGATGGATATGCTTCTATTCCAGTGTTGATATTTACATTTGAACTTGAACCTAGTAGCTTTTTATTCAAACCCCAACGCGTCATCTACTAAGTTGGTCACTAGCTTGTTCAACGGTTATGACGCTTAATATTATTATTAGTAAGAATTTGAAATATTCAGATTTTAATTTTTATCAGTCTTTGTTCTCAACATGTACATCCTGTCTAGGCTACATTGGTGTAGACATTTCGTGAATAGATGAATTGAACCTATCAAACTACTAACACTGACAAAACGTAGGTAGTACACAGACTTCTGATGACTATTAACTACTAATTAAACTCTTGATCATTCCCTTAACATTTCTTGTTTTCCCTTTCTATTCTCGTCACTTTTTTGAGTAGCGTTTTGATCATATAAAATTATTTTGTTTTATTTCTGCACTATTTATGAATAACAACATTACAAAGCAACACACACACATTCGTATTCTGTTGTTCAGAACATTTACCTGACTAGTATAATGGTTGAATTTAGGCATTAACACTGTTGGATGACGGCTCACTGGTCTAGAGGTGAAGCGTTTGTGCGCGAGACCGATAGGTTCTGGGTTCTAATCTCGCGAGGCGGGATCGTGGATATGCACTGTTGAGGAGTCCCATACTAGGATGAAACGGCCGTCCAGTGCTTTCAGGTTTTCCATGGTAGTCTAGCTTCAATCGACTCATGATCTCAACTATTGAAATTACTACAATTTCCACGAAACCGCTTCAGATACTAAGCAATAATTAACAAATATTTTACTGATAAGTTTCAAGTAAAGATTATTTATAATTATCTGTACACAACATTTTGAATAGGATTTCTTTTTGTTTAAATGGTATCCAGTAAATTTAATATTAGCCTGTACACTGATTTGTCACTTGTTAGTCGGTGGCCAATTATATGTTAGTCTAGTCCTTAGTATTGACCCAACTATATCAATCAAGTTGTAGTACGATTGCCAGTCTAAATTTTTTTGTACTATACTCACTGGATTTTGATGTTGCATAACTGAAGGCAACTTACAATAAATCGGGGATCTAGATTTCGAGTTAGTCGGCAATCCAAAGCAAAATCTATCAGGAATCCTAAGGAGACAGATGTTCTCTGTCAGGTTTGAACTTACGTCACCCAGTGTTGCAGTCCAAGACAATGTCGTTAGGCTATTTCGGATGTCGCTTACATCCTGAAGGACTGAGGTGATTACATCGATTTATTCCTGAATAATGAACAATACAGTATTTTATAAGTAAAGGGTTATGGCTGTCGCTATTCTAAGGTTACTGCCGGTCCCAAGCCAGGGTAAGGGAGGGGGGTCGGGCATAGGATCAGCAACCCCATCTTATAGAAGAAACCTTGCCAAAAAAACTCCAGCCAGAACGAACATATTAAATCACGTGTATAAGCGATCCGATAAATATCAGCACTATGAGAGAACGAATCAACAAAGCGGGAAGAATAGGATTTGAAATAATATTCACTAATTTATGGTACAAACAATTAGAGAATAGCATCCATGTGGATGAGCAGAGAGCCTATAAGAGTCATCGAAGACGAAGCTATAATAATTGATCTGTCGTTCATATGTGCCGTTTTGTTGACTCACGTCTGTCATCCACACTAATGTTTTTGAAGCGATGGCGTCACGTTTACAAGTCAAAGTGATTTTAATGTTGATAAACCAATGGAGATAGTGAATAAGTTTACTAATCACTTGAGAAAAATTAATACTTCCTAGAATTTCGGGTTTTTTTTGTGATCAGTTGTTCATTTATACCATCTCCATTCTGATTAACTAGTAACCGTGTAAATTTTCTCCATTTCAATTTGAAAATCACTCGAGGTTGTCAGCATAATTCCTTCGGATGACCCAGACCTAGGTTTTCTTACTAGTTGGCACTCTCACCAGTGAGATGTAATTGAAATAATCTTGAAGGGGTTAACCATATCTGTCGGATTTAGATTGTAATCTCACTGATAAAGTTTAATCAATACAATAGACTGTAAAATATGATACTGGTTACTACCAATCAGTAATTAAAAAATAATCAAAAGAAATGATAATATTGAATGTTAAGCAATCGATAGCAAACATACATACCTTACTCCAAGTGCTTGCTTTATTGTGTAAATGAATAGCTGGCTGAAGACTATTTATATCCCTTTTATTTACCAGACGAGGTTTTCCTCTCAAATATAATGTTGTTGAATGCTGTTGTACGCTTGATGGAATAACCGACGGCTGTGATGATTTTTCATGATAAATATTAAACTGGAAGCGAAAAGTAATAGTGGAAAGAAACGAAAAAAACACATTAAACAGTAAATTATTAGAAACAAAAAGGGAAGAAAACTACGAAATATAGATTAATATAGAGGTTTATGGAGATCTTCCAGTCTCATGTGTAATATCATGGAACGATCTTAGTTACAAAAATCCACTGAAAACTAGGAATAACTGTGTGATTGTTTCGTCACATTATGGGATTCCTCAGCAGTGGGCATCTGCAAACCTGCCACCAAGACACAAAACCATGATCTTCGATCTCCTGCGCAAACGCTTAATGTCTAGAACACTAGCATGATTAACTTCGAGAGTTAATTACGGAGTTTTATTGAGAAGCCGTAACCATTAGAGTTCAACTGAGTCATTATATTGACAAATGGTTATTCGATATTACAAATTAATTGAAGTTAAACATGTAAACCAATGGATGCCACGTTAGCGGTTTAAAGGCTGAGTAGTTGCACGTGAGACCTAAAAGCATCGTGGTAGGGTCGTAGATACATACTGCTGAAAAGTCCCAAACAAGGACGAAACAGCTGTCCAATGATTTCTGGTTTTGGGAGGTTATTCAACCATGATCATTCCATGATCTTATTTAAGATACAAATTGTTAGAAATCTGACATGACCCATGTACTCTTCATTTGATCAAATGAATCATCAATAGAAAAAAAGTACTGCATGAACTAATCGGATTCATCTTAATACACAAATAACTACACTACGATTTTATTACGAATATGCGTGTTACTGTAAGATTACTTAAAGATAGTAAATATAGACCTTAGATTCAATACCGTATTCATTTTCTTAAAATATCAAAGTAGGTTTATTTTGATTGTAAAACAAAAGTGACAATTGTTTTAAGAGCCATTAAGAAGTATCATTTTAAACAAGCGAATGAAATATGAAGAATTGTGTTTTGTAGTTGATTGAACCATGTCATCATATTTGGTAACAAAATGTACTAAAAAAAGTAGGTAGACAAAAACAAAAATACCAACAGGTTGTGTTTACATTATTGTAATTAGTTAATTTTTTGTGTGAAGTTTGACTGATTATCTGAAATTAAGTAGTGCGAGGAGCTGATGAAAATTTGGAAAACATTAAGTATTTATTTCATTTCTGTTTGGGGAGCTTTCTAGTAGTCAGAAAATGCGACTGAACAATAGAATCAACCTAAAATGTTTATGCCTTTCGCCGAACAATAAATTTGAACAAAACAACAATTCAGTACTCATTGTCTGTCAGTGATTTTCTAATTAGTATAAATTTATGAGTGGAGCATAGACTTAGTGGGTGAACCACTAGCCTTGCAACAAGTCTGACCATAGCCCGCTCCCATATAAAGATATTTTATGTTACCATTATGATCTCGAGATAGCTTCCAGTAATTCCCAATCGCAAACAACCGGTAAATCTTCCCATTATGAAATGATATATATCCTAACTAGATAGCATAACCAGTATAATAAAACGGCTTAACGGTAATAATCCACATGCGAATAAGAGAAAGAGTAGACGGGACCTTCAGGAGGTCTTTAGTATTTTCAACAGGAATAAAAACTTTATTGATGTTCGATGAAATCTCAGCACGGATTCAGAAAGCCCGGTTGGTGTTTGCCAATTCGTGTTACATGTGACATAGGCGAAATGTTCGTCTACCATTCACAGGGCATGCATGCCGTGAAACGGTTCACTCTGTCCTACCTTATAGTTGTGAAACATGGTCTATGGAAATAAAAGAAATGTACGGGTTGAAGATTTTTGATCATATGTTACTCAGAAGCATTGCTCGCGTCCCACGAGATGATGTTTCGGTTAGCTGAGGTGCTAAATAGGTTAATGAGACAGTGAATTTTCACCGGCTAAGGTAATTGCGATACCTGTTGTGTATCTCTAACCACCACCTACCTAGATGAGTGATGCATGTTAGTGTTGAAATCGGTTGACTGGAAACGAGGCGCGGTGAAATCAAAATGCGGCATCAGTCCACGAAGCCATTGTCTGTTAATCTTAGCCATGTTGGTAACTGCAAACTTGCTGATTGAAGTTAACATTTATTAGAAATCTTAGTTGATATGGCTGAGAATAGTTCACGATGGTGTAAATGCATTTACTCTTTATTTTCCTGTCAATTCTGATTTCAAGTATTCCTTCATACATACCTAATTGATAGGTTCAAATTAAGTATTGGGTACTGATAATAAAAATAACGATATTTTCTCTACTCATTGAGATATTAAATTATTATTTTTATTGTCATATTTACAAGGTCTTTCTTTTATCACTGCTACTACATTATTTTGATCTCTGTTGTTATTTTCATCATGTTGTGCTAATTAGGTAGGGGTAACTTGGCTAATGCATTTCTATACTAGTCTCTATGCCTATCCATATATATGTGATTCAAATTATCCTCTAAATTAGAAAGCTTTCAAAAGCCTGCCATCCCAGTAATAAAAAGTGTAAAATGTACTTTTAAATTTCCTATAAAGACTTATCAAACTTCACCCTATTGCACAAACAGGTGGCTATCAGGACTCAGTAGTTAAGTAGATAACGCGATGGCGTTCGAAACGAACGGTAATAGGTTCGAGTCCCAGAGTACGCGCAACTGATGAGTCCTAAATAGGACGAAGCGCACGTCCTGGATCCCAATGCTAAGCACTATCCATCTTTGCATATAAATTTACAGTTTCGGAAAGTTAGGATAGGAGACTATCTGATACAATTTCGGCCTATAAACATGCTTAAAAACCTGTATATATTACAGTGGCTGATCGGCAGTTACAATTATTCAGTGCTTTAAGGTTTTTTTTCTACAGTGTTTCCTTTTCTAAACCGCACGATTTATTCGTAAGTTCCTCTCTGTCTTCATAGAAAACAAACTTATGGAAAATTTCTCTACCGATGACTAGTAGTCTAAACTACTGGTATAAGCTATAACTGTCCTACCTCTGTCTGATCGGATAATTTAATAATCTATTTCATTATTCAGACTTTCAAATTAATACTGGATGATCATTTAGCTAACTACTTGCTAGAACAAGTCTATTTCAACACTTTTGTATCGGTTCATGTAATCACATCTCAGAGAGATGGAAGAAGCAAAAAACGATTGTCAGAGTAGTAGAAGTACTAGCAGTTTTATCGGTAGTAGTGTAGTGAACAAGAACACCCGTGGGGACAATCGAATGTATTTGACACAAAATTACAGGACTTGTTAATAAAATCTAACAATCATAAAGTAAATGCTTAATTTGCAAAATGTCCAATTGTCTCAAAGTGACTCAGACTTCATTGTTCTTGCATTTTCATACAAATTGCATTCTGTTCCCATTCTTACTGTACGATCCTCTTGTCTCTCTGCTGCTAGACCTTCTGTTCACGACTAACATTATATACTACTTATGTCAGTATAAGTAGCACACACTACAGTAGTGGTAGTAGTATAAAAGATTAGGCATAGATAACATGGCTTAAGAAGAAAGAATGAATTCACAGCGTAAAAAGCAAATGAATTTATAAGATTTCGACTTATTCTAAAACATATCACCCATCATCTCTAAACAGTGGTTACCATGATTACACAAAACCCAACTAGATAGTTTGCACCTACCTAGACAACTCATGTCAATAATTAAGGTCTGATATCAATTTAAATGAACTAGGTTACATAAATTGTTTATCTATCAACAATTAAATGTGGGGAGGGGGAAAAGATAAAACATCAATGACAGTTGAATAAATTACAACAAAAGTAGATCAAATTAGGTCATATTAAATAAACCCATTGATCTAATCAACTATGCACATGATTTGAATTTGGTTCGATCAGAACAGGAGGAAAACAAAGGCAAACAGAATTATTTAGATCCATGTTACTTAATGTATATACACTTCAGTATTGTTGTATACAATCTGATTAACATTTTTGTTACAAAAGAATTAAATATTAAGCGTAAATAACTTAATTACTAACATAAGTTGTTTATCTCATGTGATTTGAATGTAACACATGTTTTTCTTGATTAAGTTTATAGATAACTTCTAATTTTCATAAGGTTGTCATAAAAATGGACTATTTTAGCACACAAGATATTTAGTTAAGATATTTACTTAATTACTTACTTATCCCTATTACTTCCAGTGGTGCATAGGCAGCCGACTAGCATTCTCCTCCTGAAGCCTCTCTAAGGCTACTGCAGGTCATAAGCCCGGATAAAGAAGGAAGGTTGGGCATGAAGTTAGCAACCCCATCCCGTAGAAAACTAACTTGCTAAAAAAACGCTAACCAGAAAAAAATAATTCAGACTATTTAAGCACTTCTCATCTATCGAGTACTAGGATAAATCTGGCAGATAGTAACTTTTAACCACTTCCTAGTACTCCAGATATCTTTTACACGTGAAACTCGCACGGCTGAACAAAAGATGGATAGTATGGACTGAAACATTACTTCTAAGGTCGGTTTACGTAAAGAGTTAGATATTCTAGAACTTTTCTGCAAAACATGTAAAAAGATCAGTCATTCTGAAATCAATGGTAACATTTGAAAGCTTGTCTCTTAACGTTATTGATAAACTTAAATTGTACTAGATAGAACATAATAATCTTAATATTGATAACAAAACGAGTGATTCCGATGGATATTAGCTGAAAATTTTCTCCTTTAGGATTTCTGCTATGGAAACATCAATTGAAGTAAACTAACATGTCAAAAAATCTTTTTCTACATAGAGGGTTAATTAATTATCGAGAAGCTTAGTCTATAGGTGCATACTTCTGATTAGAATATTTCCCAGAAAACGTTTGGCTTCTTACAAAACACCGGAAAAGTTTCTATTCATGTTATAACCGATTATTCTGGTCTGATTGACGATTGAATAATTAGGAACAAAAAATTGATAACTGTAATATTATAATCAGAATGGGTTTTGTGGAGATTTTTAGAAATTTCCCAAGTTGAAATCATTAGTCAATTGAAGCCAGACCACCATGAGAAACCATTCTGATTATAATAATCACCTGCTCACTAGTGATGGACTTCAGGAGAAACTCCTGGAGTTCTAGTGAGAAGTCGTTACCAGTGGAGTCCAATCAGGTCTGTTGTGAGATAGGAACTCACTGAAGACAATGGTGTATGGTGGCGCAACTTTGTGGATTGGTTGAAGCTAGACATTAACACCGTTGGATGCCGGCTCAGTGATCTAATGGTTAGGTGCTCGCGCGCGAAACTAGTAGGTCCTGGGTTCGAATCTCGCGGGGTCGTGGGTGCGCACTGCTGAAGAGTCCCATACCAGAACGAAACGGACATCCAGTGCTTCCAGGTTTCCCATGGTGGTCTAGCTTCAATTGACTCATGATTTCAACTTGTGAAACTAATATTGTTGAGATAATTAGAAACTGGCTAGTCGTAAATTTAGGCTATCTACTCTCCCCCCTCTTTTTCTTCTAATGGTTGACTGGATTATGAAGACTTCGACATCTGAGGGAAAGTACGCAATTCAATGAACAGCTCAGAACCAATTAAACGATTTAGACTTTGCAGATGACCTAGCCCTCCTATCACATACACACGAACAAATGTAGATGAAGACAACTAGTATAGCAGCAGCCTCTGCATCACTAGGCTTCAACATACATAAAGGAAAAAGCAACATCCTCAAATACAACACAGAGAACACCAAACTAATCACATCTGATTGAGAAACTATGGAAGATGTGGAATCCCTTACGTACTCGGGAAGCATCATCGACGAACAAGGAGGATCGGATGCAGATAAAAAGGCAAGGATTGGCAAAGCGAGGGCCGCATTCCTACAAGCGAAGAACATATGGAACTCCAAACAACTGTCAAAAATATCAAAGTCAGAATCTTTAATACGAACGTGAAGACAGTCATACTATACGGAGCCGAAATGTGGAGAACTAATACAACTATCATCAAAAAGGTACAAGTAGTTATAAAAAATTGTCTACGAAAGATACTCAATGTCCGTCGGACAGATACCATCAGCAACAGCCTACTGTGGGAGAGAACAAACCAGCTTCCAGCTGAAGAGGAAATTAAGAAAAGACGTTAGAAATGGATAGGACATGCATTACGGAAACCACCAAGCTGTATCACGAGGCAAGCTCTAATTTGAAATCCTGAAGGGAAGTGGGGAAGAGGAAGGCCAAAGAACACATTACGTCGTGAAATAGAAGCAGATATGAAAAAGATGAATAACAACTGGAAAAAGCTGGAAAGAAATTTATGTTCTGAATTCTATCATTATCCACTATACAATATATCAGCTTAATAGGAATACAATTGGAAATAACACATAAACAGATATTTAATTTACTCTCAATCGAAAATAAACTCTAAATTTATAAGCAAAGATGGATAGTGGTTAGCAGTGCACCACCATTGTCTTAAGTGAGTTAATATATCACAACAGACCCGGTTGAACTCCACTGGTCACGGCTTTTTAACAGAACTCCAGGAAATAACTGTTGGAGACAGTCACTACTGAGCGTATGATGATTATAATCAGAGAGGGGTGGCGGTGGATGGTGGCGCAGTTTCGTGGATTGGTTTAAGTTAGACATTTATACCGTTGGACGACGGCCGGCTCAGTGGTCTAGTGGTTAAGCGTTCGCGCACAAAACTGATAGGTCCTGGTTTCGAGCCTCACGGGGCGGGATCTTGCATACGCACTGCTGGGGAGTCCCATACTAGAACGAAACGGCCGTCCAGTGACTCCAGATTTTGCATGGTGGTTTAGCTTCAATTGACTCATGAATTCAATTAGTAAAGTACATTGTTTAAAGCATATGAATTTAGGATTGTCAAATAAAGTAGAATAAAATTGTTAATATTGATATGATTCAAACGGCTGAAGCAGTAGTTATCCGGATGACGAAACCGGAGCTATGCATACAGAAGAAATATGTTCAACCACTCCTCCTCCGTTGGCCAACCTCAAGGACAGTTAATCAATAGTAATATTAGCTGTTGAATGACTCAATTTGATCATTGTACTTACAACCTCTCGTGATCAGTTGTAATTGTCTGTTATCTTTATTGACAAATCTTTGTATAATTATTATTATTAATATTATTGTTTAAACATCAATAGTAATAATAATAATGATAAAGAACTAATTTTATTTATGAACGTCAATGGTATACTAAGTATTCAAATCCATTATTTCACATCTATGCAGTACATTAGAACAAAAAGTTTATCATATCTTATGAATAAAATTGCAATCAGAAACAAACCTCATTTGAATCATTTTGTTAATTTAAAGTTTCTTGTTTGGTAAGTCATTCATTGTAGAATGACACATACCTGTTAATGTAACTAGTATTACATTAAATAACTAATTCTAAGGAAAAAACTTTATCATGATATCATAAGGGGTTTTTGTGGATATTATAGTAATTTCAACAGTTGAGATCATGAGTCAATTGAAGCTAGACTACCATGGAAAACCTGGAAACACTAGATGACTGTTTCGTCTTAGTGTGAAGTTCCTCAGCACTGCGCATCCACGATCCCACCTCGCGAGATTCGATTCCATAATATGTCGGTCTCGCGCGTGAACGCTTAACCACTAGACCACTGAGTCAGCAGGCACCCAAAGGTGTTAATGTCTAATTTCAACTAATCCACGAAATTGATTAACACATCAATCATTGTCTTCAGTGAGTTACTATCTCACAACAGACCAGGTTCAATTCCATAATAGTTAGTTATGTCTAAATTTTGAAATAAATTACTGTATAAATCTAAAACTATGTAAATTATCAAAAAAATATATTACGAATTTAATAATAAATATATAAGAATATCTTACTTCAGATTGCATAGTATTGCTATGAATTTTTCTTATTATGAATTGATCCTTTTCATAGATTTGAATTATAGCTTCACATGATACATTAAAACAACGTCTAGTCAAATTAATTTGTTCATCTTTACATAACCATTGAATATGTTTCAATGCATTCATATAACTTAATACACCGGAATTACCATGAATAAGAAATCCATTTGAACGTTGATATACTTTTATATCATTTTTGATATATTTAGGATTTAACAAAATATATTCTGAAATAGATAGAATATTGTCTACAGTATTGAATGGATCACTTTTGCATAAATCAATAGTACATGATGAAATTGTTTGCTCAAATTCTGAAGCTAAATATTAAAAAAAAATAATGCGAAATTTTGTTTGATTAATACAGTTTAAATAAATAGCGCACAATTTAAATTGAATGGTCTTGAGGAAGTTGACGTCAATCTATACCAAAACAAAACTGTTAATAAAATAGTAATCACAGAAAGGTTTTTGTAAATATTATAGTAATTTCATAGTTGAATTCATGAGTCAATTGAAGCTAGACCACCATGGGAAACCTAAAAGCACGGGACGGCTGTTTCTTCCTACTGTGGCACTGCTCAGCAGTGCGTATCCTGGAGTTTTTGTTACAAGCAGTGACCAGTGGAATTCGACCAAGTCTTTTGTGAGATAATAACTCACTGATGACGGTGACGCATCTTCATCGATTGGTTGAAGTTAGATAATAACACCGTTGGATGCCTGCTGGCTCAGTGGTCTAGAAATTAAGCGCTCGCATGCCAGACCGATAGATTACGGGTTCGAATCTCACGAGGCGGGACCGTGAATGCATATTGCTGAGGAGTTCCACACTGGGACGAAACGGCCGTTCAGTGTTTCCAGGTTTTCCATGATGGTCTAGCTTCAATTGACTCATGAATTCAGCTATTAAATTACTATAATATCTAAAAAAACCCTTCTTTGATTACTATTTTATTAAAATAGTAGAAGACAGGCATAAATTTAGAAAAATACGCATTACCAACGACATTTCTTTTAACAGATTTTCGAATGGAGAAAAGAAAAGAAAATTTTTCAATTAATTTACATAAATGAAAATTTAGAAAACCCTATCAGTGTGACTACAGCTGAAGATATATATATATATATATATATATATATATATATATATATATATATATATATATATAGCTACTGAATACAGACGGATAGACATATCAACAACATGAATATACAAACTCTTACAAATAAAATACACAAATACTGATAAAGCTAATGAATATATAGACTAAGTAGCCCAGTGAGTAACGCGTTGAGTGTTTAAAGTAAGAAATAGTAAATTAGATTCTCAATTTACAACGTCAAACGAGAGTGGGAGGTACATTTGTGCATCGGTTCAAGTTGCCGTACCACATAAGTATTGTCAAATGGAGTTATCGCGTCTAATCGCAGATTTGTAGAAGTAGTAACGATAGGTCTGTTAGTAGTAACCATTGGGGCATAAATGAATTGATTTAAGAAAAATAGATGAATTTTCAAAATGAAAGGTATAGGCATTTTAAATTATGAGCTGTATATCTTTACGTTGTTGTGACTGATTTTGAATGAGGTTACGGTCTCCGACCCTTCGTTACGATAATTACCACTACTCCACACTGATAGTGTTTATTCATTGATTAGGTTCAATCCAACTTTCCGTAAATTCATAGATTGATACCATAATTTGACACGAGCACCAACAACTTGAACGGTTATGATATTGAAAAATATGCTAATAATAATTCGAATAGGTGTTATGCTCACCACAATCACCTGTTAGGTGGTAACTATACGCCTTCGATTTATGTCAAACAGCTGTCCAGTGTACCTTCGATTTTCAGCAGTTCTCTCCACTATTATTTATTTATTTAAAAACATAAACATTGGTACAAGGAGGCACCAAATATATATGCGGCACATAAATTATTCAATTTGTGTGAGGGATGGGATACTATCCAGGTGCCCAAACCGAAGCAGGTAGTTTTCTTAGAAGACCACACGCGCAGCCTTCGGCCTAAAGGTCAGGAGATGCAGTCCCATGGTAGTCGGTGACCAACAGTAAGTTCATACACCATTTGTGAACAATTGGTTTGGAATCAGGGTTTTCTAACTCCGCTAGGTGGATTCTTCATACCCACCAACCCGGCTAAAGCACCAGACATTAGCTTTTCGTCCTCTGGATTTCGTAAACAACAGTAATGCCGTGAGAAGGCCATGAGTAGGACTTCCTTGACAGTGGTTGTATGCACGTTGCCATGTGAGAGCATTTCGAGAGGGAGAGATGACTCTGCCCACTCTCGGCCATACCAGGGCATTTGGTGGCAAATATTAATTCAACAAAAAGGAATAATTTACGTAAATTATGCAAATAACATAGTTATGATCTGGAGACAGATTCCCATATTTTTCCCCTATTATGATTATTTAGTAAGAACATACAAAAGTAATTTACATAAACCATTTAGATTAATTTTCTGTTTCATATTTATTGTTTAATGACCAAAATGAGAACTTTGATGAATGTTATTTTTATGAATGAATTGTTATTACAGATTCTTGTTTTCATTCTAAGCACGATTTGTTTTTCTTAGCATATTAAAAATACATAGATTCCTTTCATCATTGAATTAATTTGTATGTAAACAGGAATAATGTTGAACTTAAAATTGGACATTCCAAACGGCTCTCTCGATATATATAGGTTAACTAACGGTTATTCTTATAGCTAATGCATTTTTACATATTACTACAGTGATATACAAATGTATTGGTCTATCAATTAATTGATTTCTACAATACATATTGACAGGATGATTATTTTGTTTCTAGGTGAAGGGGGTTGGATATGTTCTTTTTCACTTATCTATAATCATGTAACTGTTTGGAAAAGCTTGTTTTCAACAAGATAAATAATTTGACTTATTTACTAACATGAAAACTGTTTTTGTTTTTAAGATCATGAACCGATTGATGTTAGACCACCATTGAAAACTTGGAAGCACTGGATAGACGTTTCGTTTAACATCAATTGGTTCATGATCTCAATCAAAAACTTAATAATTTCCACAACCCCATACTGATGAAAACTGTTTTGTCGAGAGATTTATATTAAATGTGGAATTATTAAAATGTAATGAAGTAATGGGAAATTAAAATTAAATAAATATCCTCATATCTGTGTTTTAATAAGTTCAGTCCAATGACCCAGTGATCTATAACTACTAGAACTACTATTTCGACTTGTTTTATTTTAATCCTGGTTATTTTCTGTTAATTTGATGATGTACCTGTTTCACAAATTGAGATGTTGCATAATGATACCGAGATAAGCTGTGTGTGAGAATCGCCTATCATTAATTAACATATAATTCCCATTTAAGTATTAAAAAACCTAAAGTTCAGCGAAGGGATATATTCTCAACGAATTTATTATTAAGCTCTACTCGGTTTAAAGTAGTTGAAAAATGACTCATTGATGTCTCTTAAACGGTCTTACAAACAGCGGTAACCCAGTGTTTACGTCATTCTACCTTGAAACAGTTGTTCATCCAAATCTCACCTAATTGGGTAATTGGAACATTGAGTAAGTTTTTACATTTAGGGCTTGTGGAGATTTCTGAATTCCATCAAAATTATGAACTGATCTAAGTTAGACTACGATTGAAAACCTGGAAGCACTGGAATGACGTTTCACGTGGACGCCTAACCTCCAAACTACTGATCCGACATCTAACGGTGTTACTGCTTAACTTTAGTCAGTTCACAACATTGCATAACCATCTTCCACTGCCTTCGGTGGGTAGTTGCCTCACACTGAATGGATTGTCCCACACAACAAAACAGTCTCTTAAAGTCACTAAATACGTAAACCAGTGCTTGATTACTGAGTTGTGGTTAGTAAAATCAGATATCAAAGTGATTACTTCAAAAGGTGTACACGTTAGTAGTAGTGGAGTTATTGATAGATTAAACAGAGTGGTAAATATAAACGTGACAACATTTTAATGTTCTTGTTCGTAGCAGTTTGTAATTTCTCGTTGTTGACAGTCATGATTAAATCTAATCAGAACATATTCATATACGGGAACCTTGAATTAATGTTTCGATGCAACGACTGCAATCACAAGTTAATTATATGTTTTAGATAGTGTTTAATAATGTCATCTCAGAAGTGAGTTTCGTCCTGTTTGGGGCTTAACAGCTTGATGCACCTTCTTCCTCGAAATGATTTTCTTAATGATGTTTAATCCTAACTATCGTCCCAAAAAGAGCAACAAAGGGTATTTAATTGTGTTGAAATATTGAGCACATAGTACGTCGAAAAAAATAATCTATTATACAAAAAGTCCTCAAATATGATACTATTTCTTCTTACATGTATTATGTGAATTCAACAGTTCCAATGGGGTCTTCCACATGATTGTTATGTATGGAAATATATAGACTCCAGTAGATAAACTACTTAATGTGACATTTCTCGATGTGAATGTCTTGTTCATATGTTCATATTGTTCTGTATTAAACAGTACTAGTGAACTGATTGATGATGATGTTGATATTTCATCGAATGACTGACGTATCGATTGGTTTAGTTGAGTAGAAGCTGGTAACTTAATGGTAGACAGTTTTTCAGGGATCTCTTTTTCATGTTTCTGTTCATACTCATGGAATTGTTGTTGTTTTTCTGTCGTTTGATGAACATTCGATTGCTGATAACCGTGATTTGGTTGATTATGACTATGGTACCGCCTATGAATGTATCGATCCGTACGAATATTTGAATTCAATGTATCAAGTAAAATTAATGTTTGTTTAGTTGGAGGTAATGGACTAATTAGAATTACTTGATTAAATGTTGAGGGTATTTCACAATCTGTTGCATAGCTATGAATAGATTGGAACAAAATAGCATAAAATAACACTAATAACTGCTGAAATAAGTAATATACTTATTTAAAATTATGAAACGGTATCACTAATTCCCTTTTGAAACTTTCCCTGAAAGTTCGGATACATTCAAAATAGATTTATTCAATCAACATCTTCGGTGAATTTCAGAAGTTAACATATTTATGTTCCCAGTGTAATCTGATTGATCATGCACACAAATCACTTCTTATAGTACCAACCCAATAGTCTAGAAATAGTATATTCAGCAACACCTGAAGATTTATGTTTAGGTCGTAAGTAAGGATTACTAAGTATTTCCATACAGTAGGTTGAAGCAGCGGCTGTGTGCCTTTTGATTTTAAATAGTCGTTCATAAATAAATTCAGTCCTTAGTCAAATGTAAAAGTAGAACAACCTACTCAAATCTTTTATGCTAATAAGTATTCCTTTATCGTACTTTTATTCTTCTTTTGATCGATAATTTTTTCTTTGCTACCGTGCAATTTGAAATCACTTAGGAGTATCACTCAATCTTTCTAAAGATAACTGACTGTTTCATGAATAATGTGTTACGATTCAATAATTTAAGTAGGAAAATAAATAATTACGCTACAATTCAACTTGATGAAACGAAAATCCGTTAAAGGACACTTTATACCTGCTTCTCACCAATGAGAAAAATCTTCCAAACTAAAAAAAGTCAAGGTCTACTAGAACTCATTAGTTAGTGAACAAAAACATAATTTCAATCCGACAATCAAAACATTACATTGGACAAAGTGGATACCTTCTATGTAAAGACACCAACTACTTATCAAACCCTATAGGGTGTCTTCGCTCACATTAATCCACGTGAACAATTACGGATACACATCTGGCTGAGAAAGTGTTGAAGGTTTTGATAAAGGGGATATTAAAATGGTCAGGTAATTTTTAGAAGCGTGGTAAAAGCCTCAGCTAGCAATCAATCAATACATCGGGATCGACCTAATTAATCAACTAATAACAAAAATCATGGACAAATATATAAAACAGGGGTCAAGTTAATGGGAGAAGCAATCAAAATTACTTTACATATAACGACAAGGTAAAGGTCAATCAATCAGTGCTAATGATCAAGGCCAACAGTGCAAGCTGCTATTCATATACGGAGAAGTTAGAATATCTCGATTCTTTTAAATCCTAAGCCGATAGAAGTTATACAATCAATGAAACCTGAAAGCACTAGACGAACGTTTCCTTCTGGTATGGAACTCATTATAATTGCGTATCAACGATCCCGCACGAGGGAACCGAACCCAGGACCTGCGATCTCCTGTGCAAACGTCTAGCTTCTAAACCACTGAGCTACCATTCAACGGTGTAGGGGGTGACTGGTTGAAGTTAAACAAGTACACTCACAGGATCCATCGAAGACAATAAAAAATGTTTGCGTAATATCCTGAACTAATCGCTGATTTCCTGGATACCTTTTTCTCTGGCGAGGTTATAGATGAGTGCTACTGGGGAGTCCTACACAGGGACGAAATCTCTGCTCAGTGCTTCCAGTTTTCAATGGTTCTCTAACTTCGGTCAATTCGTGACTTTAGTGGAATCTAACAACTTCCACAACAGCATAATGATGACCGTCCCAATTCAACTTAAAGTTTACGCTGATGATATTGTTCAGAAGAACAATCAAAGTTTTACGATTAAACCAATTCTCTGAGAGAACGAAACTCCACCAAAAATTAAAGAACACTATATATCCCGATGTCTACATAAATTACTTACGCAAACAAAGTATTTAATTGTATAGCCACTGGTTCCGGTCGATATCGTGGTTTATATTGTAACCTTGGATTGTAAAATGTCACATTTCTTAGAATTTTCGATAATTCATTTAAACTTTTAGCTTGAATAATGATACTATTCAAATGAGAATTACGAATATTTGTTGTATCGAAACGATTAGTGTTTGAACTGATTGATGTTGGATCGTTGATAATTAGACGTGGTTCACAGTTGATCAGACAAAGTATTTCCTCATCTGATTGAATATATCCATTTGTAAAGGTTAAACCAGCAAGATAACCCTTGTTTATGTATTTTCAATGGTTAGAATAAGACAGTATGTACATCAATATTACTCAATAATAATAATAATAATAATAATAATAATAATAATAATAATAATAATAATAATAATAATAAAACGTAACTACGTTGGCTATCGTGAAAGTAGGACCATTATTTCACTGATTAACAAGTGACCTACATAATCCTTTTTACTAGAAATCGCTTATTTTTGAATGAGTATTATCGTTTTGCCAGAAAACCACTGAAGATATTAGGCTTTCTTTTCATTTGTTTCATCGAAGAGCCGTGTATTGTCAAGATGTTTTAAACCGGAATAGAATAATAATCCGTTGTTGTCCGGCTAATTTGGTGTATGTTGCATATTACTTTTATATCATTAAAACAACACTCATGATGATCTAATAGAACTTTATCGGGTGAACTAAGATTAGAGAGGAAATTGTATAGCTAACTCCATCACAATATCATAGTAACAAAGAATTTCCCTTTGATAAGCAGCATTTTAAGTGATATTGCTTTTCTATAATCAAAAAGAGAGATTATATAATGTTGATACTGTGAACAATGCCTCTTCCCTTGCTCCAAAAGTTTACGATGGTAACAATAGAGTGAATAAAATTATGGCGCTATTCACGTTTTTTCGCCAGTCTTTGTCCATATGTAACCGGTGCTAGAGAATTTAGTTTACAGAACAATGATTCTGAAAGTTCATTAGTTTCGCGTGAATGATTTCAACATACTTTTCTTCCTTAACCCTTTATTTCAGAGTGTCAGCGAACATTAGCGTTGCATTTTAAAGAAAACGAACAACCACTACTGTATACGTCGAGCCAAGCATACATAGTTTATGTCCCACTAAACATCTACCTATTTCTTTCTCTTTCAACATACTTGATTATCAAATTTTGGAATCAAGTTCGACAAAGTAAACTTTTTTTTCCTCACTACATTAATTCGATTTGTAGGAAATTGAGTTGATGTCTGGTTATGCCAGTTTCTACGTTGTTGATCATGTGCTGACTGCATCAAGCAATGAAAATAAACCAATAGATTTTGAAAAACAATAATAATGACAAATAAAAGACTTACGACAAAATGTTGAGCGAATTGAGCACTACGTCCATGCCAACAAGCGCCAACTGAAGTACGAACAAATTCATGATTTTTAACAGATAAATGTACCATAGGCATATTTTCAGCAATTTGCACCAGTTCAGGATTATTTGGTACTAATCTTCCATCCAAATATAATTGTAACTAAATAAACAACAGAGAAGCTATTATGGCAGTGATAATGACTAATAGTTTTGTCATTTCCCAAAAGCATATATATATATATATATATATATATATATATATATATATATATATATATATCAGTCAACTACAACGTAGGACCAGGCATATATATGCATCGATCCAAGTTGTCTCATTAGCACAACAAGATGAACACCAAATTCATTGAAACAGTCACTTCAATGGTAGTAATGCGCAATAGATTGTTTATAAGGTTATAGTACCCAAAGAAAGAATTAGAAATGTGTAAAATAATTTTAATCTCACAGTTTAAGGGAAGATAAAGAGTGTATACACTGACGTCATTATGGTCGATCCTGAGCCATGTCACACAGTCTCCAACCATTGTTTACGACAGTCGCGCGGACCCCAATGAAGTAGCCTGCATCTACCAACATGG